AGACATAGTATATATTGTAAGCCATCGTATATATTAGGGTTTGTAGAGGTTACTTAGTTTTATCCATGCATGTGGGGGGGTTTCCAGGCGTTCCAGGGGGCAGGCCCCTCCAGGAGCCTCCAGGAGCCTCCAGGGTTTTGAAAGGTTTCCAAAAACCCCGTTTGAACGAAAAATGCGCCCTGCCGCGTACTGCCAAAGCCTCGAACCTTGGGCGAGGCTGAACTTTCATGCAGGATGGTCAGGCTGGACTAGGCCACCCGCCATGGCGGGGGGGTGGGGGTTGGCCACGGTTAAGGGGTCTGCAAAGGGGAGTAGAGGGGGTTTTTAGAGGGACCTGAACGCCCTGAGGCTGGATGCCTGGGCGAATTTCTGTTATACTATAACCCTTAGGAATTATTAGCAATGATTATTTCATTATAGGTCTAAGGAGGCTACAGGTTTAGGGCTGGGGATTTAGGAGGCGGAGCCTTGAAGCTACTAGGTCTCTTCCTGTCGTTGTGTCCGGGAACTTGCTTTCTACGCGTTTTTTTGGGGGGTTCAAACCCAACCTTAGGCTGTGAAGCCTATGTCCGAAATTTCTCCATGAACGCGAAGCCACGATGAAATTTGACCCCCACCTTGGATGAAGACAATGATACGTTTGTATACCTCGGAATTTCTCTTGAAAAGAAGCTGCATGGCACCAAGCTTGGCAGGTTCTTCGGAGGACTTGGCTTTGGGGCACGGCATGGCCAGGACAGCGAAAGAAAGGATTACAAAAAGCATATGAAGATGAAGAAACAGCGGAATAAGTAGTGGTAGCAGTACTAACAGTTGTTATATGTGCAGGCCCTAGCATGAAACCGACCCAACCCTACGGTTTAGTTTTTAGGGCCCTATATAACCCCTACCCCTGTATAATCCTTATCTCCCCTTTAAAGGTGCCCAAAACCCTGGCATGAAACCCGAAGCCCAGAAAGCTTAAACTGCAAACTGTAAACCTGAAGACCACAAGCCGCTTTGGAGCTGTTCTTAGGGTTTAGGGTTCAGGTCTATGCTTTCGGGTTTAGGGTTCAGGTTAGGGCTTGGTTGATTGAAGCCACCCGCCACAACACTCCTTCTTGCAGCCTAAACTTTTTTCCCTGGAAGAGCACATAATGCCGAAGCCTGAATCATCATTACCGCTGATTTTCTTTGCTTCTGCAGTTGCTACAGAGTAGGTTCATTTGGGAAGTCTAGGGTATTTAAACCAATATATAACGGGCACTTGTCACCCAACTAGGATTATCTCAGGAACTTCGGAGGCTTCTCCTTGGGTTTTCAGTGCAGTTACAGCTAGGTCAAAATTACCCGGAACCTTCGGGCAAATTTAAGGACCTTAGTTTTGTGGGGTCTGTGTTGCCAGCAGCTGTGTGGGGATTAGGGGCCCCCTGTTTCAGGATACCATAAATTTCGGAGAAAATGCCTGTGGACCCAGACCGCACAAACACAATGGTCTTGTCAGCAGGGACCAGCAAAATTCCCCCACACAGGGGACCTCAATAGTGCCAACAGGGAATTCTTTTTCAAACCCCTGAGCCATGGGGCTTTTGAATCGCCGAAGGGGGTTGAAGGTTTGAAGGTTTGGGGATTCCGTGCTCAGTGGTGTTTTTCAGTGTATATATTTGGAGGGTCAGGAGGACTTGGCAAGTAGGTTAATAGTGAGTATCATTGGGTTTATTCTATGGCTTATAGGGGGGTTCTTCACCTGCTTACTAAGTCCCCCTGACCCGTCAAGTAAGGGCTCCCGCGCCAGGGTTTAGGTCTTCTAGCTCCATGCTGCTGGCTAGGACTTGCACACGTAAGTCCAAGCCCACAAAGCAATCGGCTGCGAAGCAAAGCTATGTAGGCATGTACGGTGAGAGAAGATTTTGGTATCAAATGGACAAGAACATGGAAACCACAGTACACTAATTTGTCATAAGCGACAGTAAGGCATACAAATCACTAGATCGTGTCTTGGGCGGACATGTCTTCAGTGGCTGACGTTTGAAGAGCCTTACGACGATGGGGGAGACAAACCAAAACGATAACTATGATGTAGCAAATTTGGGCTAAGGTTGACGATTTGGGGTTGTGGGTTTTGGAATTGTTGGCCTTAGGTACCAAAAGCCCAATACATCTGTTCTCTCGGATCTTACAGGTCAGTAAACCGATGATGGTATTACAGTGAGAGGCCTAGGTTGAGGCAGATCCATCATTCCGCAGCGTTCAATGGAATTAGTTCCTTGTGGGAGTTTGCCGTGGTGGGTTTTTAAGGATTCATACTGGAATCCCAACCTTAAATCCTAAATCCTAAACCCTCAATCCTGAACCTTAAATCCATAACCCTAAGCCCAACCCCCTAAACCATAAACCCTAACCCCCTAAGCCGTAACCTCCTAAACCCTAAATCCTAAAACCCCACAGTACCAACTCCGACAGCCCTTGTGGAGGAGCCTGGATGCTCTGACCCTAGCAAGGACGAACATGGAGGCCCACTAGTTGGGGGATATATGGGGATATATCTGGGGATACAGACAGGATATGTAGGGGATACATAGGGGATACAGGGGGGATATCTAGGGGTTATATAGTGATTACAGGGCTAATGTTCCCGTTTGGTTCCAACATCCACAGAACACCCCACTGCTGCAGCGAGCTGAAGGACATGGCACTGCTCGTTTTGAACCGTACTTCAACATAAGTCTCAGAAATCGTGCCGTCACGCATCTTTAACCAAAGCAACGCTGACGACTTGGCTTGTGGCCGCTCTTCAGTTCTGCTCCAGGACACAAAGCTAGGACGCCCTTTCTGGAGTGCTTGCAGTATACATTAGGTGGACGCCCCACCCTGTAAGAGTGGTATAAAAGGAATATACGAGGACCCGCATATAGTTGCCAGTAGGCAATCTAGTCACTATTACTGGGCGGGGGCGTCCACCGGGCATGTACATCGTGTTATGCGGGAGCACGCATGGTCGATGTCTTGAAGTTTCCAACCAATGGCAGTTGCTTCTTCCGATAGGTGGATTTGGGGCGCAAACCTGAACGGCTCAGCCGCACATGTGCAAATAAGAATCCCAAGAGCAGCAGGCGAAACCGACGACAGCAATGCAGAAGAAATGCTGATTTCCAATCAACTATAGTTGTGGCATCCTATACTACCTTGCCTCTCCATACTCAGTCCCCAAACACTTAGGTCCAAAGAGCATTGGCAAGTGATAGACCCGTCCTTTTATTATCATGGCTGTACAGGGCATGCCGTTTTGTTTCACGATGTCCTAAGGCTTTCCAAAAGGGTTACGGCAGGTATGATACAGGGTCCAGGGTTCAGGGTCTAGGGTCTCTCATTGCCTACGGGCAAAGGACAAGAATAGAGCCTCTACATGCGTGATCGAAGCCTTGTGCCAGAATCATGGCCCGATCTGTCCGCGTTGCCAAGGCGACAATGGATCAAAACTTTCAAGAAACCTCACTGGGGTAGTATGGAGTAAGAGAGCCTCTTGTATAATAGGGAACACATAGGGACTATATTCCCTTATTCCCTACTATCCCAAAGTAAGAAGCAGCCACAATTCGGGCCCGCGAACTTGCCCTCCCCCCAAAATTGATCCTCATTGTAAAGATGATGCGAAAAGGGGGCCAGATTTTCCGCCCTAAGCTCTGAACCCCGAAGCCCTAAACCCCCGAAACGCTAAACCTCTAAACCCTAAGCCCTAAACCGCTAAACCCTAAGCCCCTAGTTTCTAAACCCTAAACCACAAAACCCCAAACCCTTACACCCTAAACCCTAAAGGTTGATGGCTGCGAATTCTCAACAAGAATTATAGCACCTGGCCACTGCTTCCCCCCAGGTGGGGGCTCATGCCTTCTATTTGAGGTTTAGGATTTAGGGTTGCCACAAAACCCTAAATCCTAAACCCTAAACCATGGTTTTACTGGTTTAGGGTTTAGAGTTCAGGGTGAACTCAAGGGTTCAATGGTTTGAGGCCTTAGGGTTGCCAAGGGGTGGTCGACTTTGGGTTTATGCTTTGGGGCTCAGGGTTGCGAATAGAACCTTCATGAGTGCCCAATGGAGGTCTTGATAAGAAATTGTTTGGCCCCTAGTTTGTATGTAGAATGCATTTGCAGAGTAGTTTCTCTCCTAGTTCCCGCTATTAGGCTAGAGCTTTCAACACCACTCGCCACTCAGGTGCTCAGATCCGGTTCGACGGACTACCAGCTCTCGCGTCAGAAGTATTTTTCGTGCAGTGGCCGGAGCGCAACGCGTTTTCCATCCATCGCAATGTTTGTGTGGATATTGAAACCATAGACCCAGCTACTAGAATGGTCCATACAAAGACTCCCCATAAGATTCCCGATACGCATGAAAGCGTGGCTCTGTCTGGCTTCAGCACAGACCTGAGCAAGCATGTCGAAAACCATTACATGGTAAGTGAAATTGTGGATGAGTACACTCTGCGCTTGGAGTCATCTGCAGAACTCCCTCCCAGTTTGATCCGGGGACAACTTGCCCGCGACGGTTGCAGTGTCCTCGTGCCCCGGTCCCAATGCACGGGATCAGGTGTGGCATCCCTTGTGGGCCAGGTCCCCAAATCAACGGAGGCATGTTTGCAGGATTGGCGAGCTGCCGTACGAGCAGCGCGACAAATGGGCATAATGAAGAGTCTGCCTGCAGTTCTGCATCCTATTCTTCCCGATACAGACTCCTTGCATGTGGAACAGTGTGGATGGCGGCATTGCGAAGGCGTTTTTCGCCACAATGGTCACATGCAGTTTACTTTGGGACCGCTTGTTTCAATTGTCTACAGCGAGGAACTTAGCATGTGGTGTTTGCTGGCCGATGTAACCGCAGCCTACCCTTTGGAAGAGCAGCGATGTTACTTGGGCCTCGGAGATTGGGACGGTCCTCAGCTTTTGTATGTTCGTCAAGACCCGTCTCCAACAGGGCGTTGGGAGCCGGTGATTGGCCCAGGGCCCGGCCCTACAATCACAGCTCACAGAGAGATGACCATCTTGCTATCTGAGTCAAGGCAGCCATCTTTGCTGCTGCATCCAAGTGTAGGCTCTGTAGTCCTGGACATGCTGTTCAACTACCTCCATGCTGATTGGCGAGGTGGGTTCACACGAGGCCGTGTGTGCCATTTCAGTTCGCTGGAAGCTATCATTGCGGCTTTTGGTCTGTGGAGAGGAGTTCGCACATGTTCAGCAGTGTGCCGCACTTGGCAGGTCACTCTGAAGCCTTTTGGAGACTTGGTTCAAATTTGCCATCACGCTTTGCAGATTCCGCAGGAATCAAAGCTCCCTTTGCCTACTATTCAACAGGCTGTCCAAGCCATCATGTTGAGCGGAAGTATGTGGAGCGACGGACTCTCTGTGGTCAACTTCAATGCCTTTTTGGAGCATCTCTGGCCTTCCAAGGTGGAGCAGGTGGAGTTGTCAAGTGAGCTGAATGCACCTTGTGCCAAATGGGGGTTTCCCAAAATTAGGGGTACCTTTTTGGGGGTCCCTATAATAAGGACTATAGTATTTTGGGGTCTATATTTGGGTCCCTTTGGAAAACTACCAAATTGATTTTGTTTTGCACTGTCAAGATTGTGGAATGTTAAATCTAAGTACCCAGGCCCAGTAGTACCCTTTTCCCCTTCATATTTTGGTGTCTCCTTATTATGGCGCTAACAATAGGACAAAGGGTACTGTCATTCTTGAGGGGCCACTGGCGAAGCTAGAAAGGACTTCATGTTCCACCCAAGGCATCTTCCCATAGAAGACGGGAGAGAGGAGGGTTCCCCTTGCTACGCGGATGGGTCGGATGATATTGTTGATACTCGAAATCCTGTATGACCTTGGTATACTACAGTACCCTACTTCCCAAAGTGTAAGGTACTTTGGTTCATGAAGGTTTAGGGTTTTAGGTTTTAGGGTTTGGGGTGAGAACCAGGAGGTGCTGTAGCACGGGATCCCTGTACTCGTGGAACCGAAACCGATTGTTAAGATATAGGGCTGTCCCAAAGTTAGTTGACCTTTTTAGGGGTCCTTTTCTGGCTCTATATAGGGGTCCCCCCATTTAGGGAAACTACCCTGTAGCCTCGTAACGAGCAGCTGTTTTGACACTGACTTTTATTCCCAAGTGGCTGTGATGAGCTATAATAAGGTTTTGCTGTCAAGAGGTACCTCCATGAATTCAGGATTTTGACAACCAGTGGAAAGTGAGGTTTCAGGCCATTTTCCATGAGCAGGCGATGCTGTTGGTAGTAGGGCCTAGCAAGACCTTTTGGAACAATTGTGGTCCGCGGTTGATTTTTCAAGGGTTAAAGGCAAATTTGGTATTGATGCCCTTACGACTTGCAGATGCTTCGCAAAATGTCTGGAAATCTGGTCAGCATCTTATTCAGTTCTACAGGTCTGAAGGTGGGATTCGACATCGATGTTCAAGACTGAATTTGCTTTATGCTATACATGCCGTGCCGCCAGCAGATTTGGTAGCGAGATTGTGTGGAACCCCACACCCAAATCCTGAAACCTAAGCCCCAGACGCTGGAATTTTAAGGGTTTGACAGGCACAGGAATCCGACTTCGTGGATGGACCAACCGCCGCTCTCCTCGACAAGCACGCTTCCCTTTTCTCGCGTGTTGCGAAGCAGTTGCTGCATGACTTACCACTTCCGTGGAAAACGCGGCACGATTGGTGCGGGCGCCGCACCATGGGAGACGGCCGCAGGTTTGCAACGCGAGATCTGCTCGATTTTTATTCTGCAAGCAGGCCGGGCGCTTCAGCTTTCGTAGGTGCCGATGCAGATGGACACATGCAGCTTTTCTTGCCCGATGGAACTTGCTTACTTCCTACGTCAAGCCGCGTTTTGCAACCGCTGGAGGACGCAGGCCATTCTGATTGTTTTTCCGGTGGCGGAGGGGGCTTTTGAGTTTGAATGTTGCTATGGACTGGAGATGTAACAATATGTCCCATAAAGTTTCGCACAGAAAGCTGACGTATCTCAATCTTGTCACTCAATAGTTCCAAGGGGCAGTGTGCAAAGTTGTTGGAACACGGAGTGGGGCCTAAACCCTAAACCCCTCAACCCCTAAACCCCTAAACCCTAAACCCTAAACCCCTAAACCCTAAACCCCTAAACCCTAAATCCTAAACCTGATGCTAGAAGGAAGCCCAGAGGTGCCCCCCGTGAAAAAACTGTAATCTTCAGAGGCCCCTTTGGGGTTTAGAGTTTAGGGTTTAGGGTTTAGGGTGGGAGTTTGGGGGATGTAGATAGAATATGGGGTATATCATTGGGGTAATGTAGGGATAATGGAAAAGAAAATGGTAACTATTATACTGGGGTTCTATTATGGGATATGTACACCAAACTGTATAGCTCTCTACATATATTCTAATGCTCCTTGTACAAGTATATATATATGTACATTCCTGTATAATCCTAGATGCCTTAAGTGTGTCTCCAGGCCTGCAGCCCGTGTCGGTGAGGAGATCTTGGAGTTCCAGTTACACGCAGGAAAAGGAACCGGGAGCCCCCTGCGGTCGGTATCCGGGTTCCCAAGTAAACAAGTTGTCAATTTTTGGGTCCACATCAGAGTACAGCCCACTCATATGTAGGATACTTAAACAGGCAGCATAATTTTGAAAAGCTTCCACTTTGGGGGTCCCTTCCCTTTATACGTCAAGTTTACAATCAGGAGCCTTTTGTTCCTATGTTGGTGCAAAGCCTAGGCATTGCAGTAAGCCATCGACATGCAAGCGCTGTGAAAGGGATAAAGAGGGAAGATTTCGTCTTGGGGCTTCCCAGCTCTCTGGTCGCTGGGATTTCGCCTTTCAAACTGTCAGCGGTGCAGAGATCGTGCTCGAAATCAAGGTCGACCTTCTCCCCTTCTTTGCAAATTCCAAGGATCCTGAGCTCATAAGCCAGATAAGAGCACTGGTCCCATGGACAGAAGAAGACGTTGAGGATGACTTTGGATCTGAGGATGATCTAGGCGTTGATGAGGATAGTGGCGCTGAAGATGAAGATGAGGAGGATGACGATGCTGCAGACTCGGGCCATGACTTCGTGCACAGTACCGATGGCCAGGAAGAGGAAGCTGAAATGGAGAATAGGGAATAGGGTTTCGGGTTTGGGGCTTGAGGTCTAGCATCCACCGGGAGGTCGTGAGCCTGAGCGACAGTAGTCGCTCCCATGTTGTGTCTACAGCTTCAGAGTCACGCAGAGGTGTTTTGACAATGATGCGGAGAAGCCCATCGACAGATCAGCCCTGTATGTTTGCAGCTGTGGAAAACGGCATGACCACATGATCAGTTTGCCTCGCGTGAAGAGTATAAACCTGCTTCACATGGATGGTTGGGCCTTCAGCTATGACCATAGCTTCACCAGCAGAACTCAAGCACACAACTTCTCACATATCCATATTTTCTGATCTAAGCCCCGGGCCTAAACCTCGTATGCAGGCTTCCAGCTCTGAACCCCAAATCCTGAAAAAGAGTGATATAGTCCTACTATAATACTTTCCATTTTCTTTTCCATTATCCCTATATAACCTTAACCCTTATATAATCCCAATATAACCCCTATATAACCCCTATGACTCAGTTTTGAGAATACAGCAGCAGGCGCTCTCCAAACTTCCTCGGTCCATCCACCATCTTACGCAGGCCATGACACAGAGTGCGGTTAAGGGTTTAGAGTGTGGGGTTGGTTTACCCCAGAAGCCCAGGTACCCATATAGTAGGTTCTTGGGTTATAGCTAGTATAAGTGTATATAGGGACCCAAGGACAGGAACCCAATGTATAGGTAACTGGGCTTCTAGGGTTACTTTCTGGTTCTTTTGAGGGAAGACGGGCATATAATCCTACATAAGCCCTATACAGTATATTTCCGTATCCCCTACTGAGAACCAATAGGTTTAGGGTTTAGGCGCTGCGGGGGTTGAGGGCTTAGGGTTTTCGGGTTTCTGGTTGTTAGGGTTTAAGGGTTCAGGGTTTTTAGATTTACTGGCCAGCAACTCATTTAAGCTTGAGGGTTCAGGGTATAGATTTTAAGTTTTAGGGCATCCTGTTTTCAATCCACACGTCCAGACGCTATGAATTTGGGCAGCAGTTGCAAGTCAGCAGTTATGGAACTGTGTTATCGTTAGGTATTTCAATGTGTGGCAGTATAGGTTCGCGATGAGATAGGCGCATTGCTGGGCTTGAAGCAAGATGGGATGTATCATGGGTTATACCACAAACTGGCCCCTAAACCCTAAATGCCAAACAGCGCACCAAGCAGTCTGCACTGCACATATCACACCGTACAGTTTAGGCTTTACGGCGGGGGGGTCAGTTTTGGGGTATACCGTGTAGATTGTAGGGTTGAGGGCTTAGGGTTTATGGTTCAGGTTCTAGGATTCTGGAGTTTAGGGTTTTGGGTTTCTGGGTTTTGGACTTTCGGACGCAAGGTGATGTACTGATGAAAGTCAGGGTGAGCGTGTTTCTGTAACTTCTGCATAACCCTCAATAGTCTCAACTCCTAGTATCCCCCTTAATTACCCCTATAGTAGCCCCCCTTAATAATCCATTGTGTATTATCCCCTTGAGGGCGTGTAGACCCTAAACCCTACATTCTAAACCCGTAACCCTACATCATAAACCTTAAACCTTAAACCCTACATCATAAACCCTGAACCCTAAATAAGTTATCAGTCTTGATGGCGGGAAGGAGGCCAGCGACCTCTCCACATTGCTGGCGACGTCTACGCCGCCTTCTGTAGATGTGCCAACTGTGCCAGGCCAGCTTATGGCTCTAAGAGTTTAGGGGTTTAGGGTTATGGGATAATCGAAAAGAAATTGGAAACTACTATAGTATATCGGGGATGATATTGGTGTATAAAAAAGGGATAATGGAAAAGAAAATTGAAACTATAGGATTTAGGGTTCATGGTTTCGGGGTTTAGGGTGACGTTTAGGGGTTCAGGGTGAAGGGGGTCAGGGTTTTGAGTTAAGTGTGTAGGGGTCAGGGGTTGAAGTTCAGGGTTTAGGGTTAAGTGTTTCGGGGTTTAGGTTTGAAATATTTGGAGTTCACTGCGATGTAGCGCTTGCGGGTTGGGATGGTGCCATGGGTTCCCCTACCACCGTCTATACGACCCCCAGCAGGGTTTCCCTTTTATCAGCTTCCAGTAGCTCGACAGTTTAAACCCTAAACCCTAAACCTTGGGTACTGCCCCCACCCAGTAACAGTCTATATTAGGTGTCCTACTAAGGGCTATATAACCATAGTATAACAATTATCCAACTGTTACTGGTTGGGGGCAGTACCCAACCTAAACCCTTAAAACCCCAAGCCTTGTAGGTGCTTCACACCGAGGAAACTTTCTTGTTGTCAGTGATTTTAGGGTATGTATCAGGCACTGCACCCACCCAGTAAAATTGGGAGAATACATAAGTAAGGTATGAATATACATGTATACAGATAGAGCCCTTAATATGACCTCCAGTATATAGGATTTGGGGCTGGGATTTCGGATTTAGGATTCTGGGCGTGAATTTCATGGGTCCCACGCCCGATACTCCCTGAATCATGTAGCTTATGCACGCGACGTGTACAACCTTCGAACCACGGCAGTGTTGTGGGTACCTGTGGCATAGCACCTAGCCCTGTGGGGTACAGAGCGGGGCACTCGTGTTCAAAACTGTTCACATCTTAAGCCTTTGTCATGATGCGGATTGTTTTCAAAGTGGGTTTGCTTAAAGTTCTTCAGGGGAAGAACACCCTAATGGTCTGCCGCATTAAAAGCATAAAGTTAAACAACTCCTTGACCCCCACCCCTTGACCATCAAAATTGAACTCGCAGAGGGCATCCCTGTCGTGAGAAACCACTATCTTGCAAAGGGCTTCCGCCGCCACGATGGGCGCGAAGCGCCTACGATCGCGGGATGGAGGATATGATTGGGGATTCAGAGTTGTGGGGAGTGGATGGTGCGTAAGTCCTGCAAACTCAAATTACACGGTTCCAAGCGCTTCATACCCCTCAAAGAGATTTCCCTCAGCATGCCCGGTCGAAAAAAATCCTGTTTCTGTGCGAGGGTTGTTAGGATCTGCCCTCAGGAGGTCTGGGGTCCAGTCCATGGCAGGACATATGAGCCATACTCTAAACTCCTCAAAGGGGGTTCTATAGGGGCTAATATAGGGGAGTATTATAGAGGGGGATACTAGGAGTTTAGACTACAGCTCATATCACTTGGGGTGTTGCAGTTAGAGGGTTCCCTTCAAAAGGATTACAGCGGCTATATCAGGGGTATGCAGGGGGAGATGTTGGATCCAGGGATTGGGGTTCTGGATTGGTTCCAAACCCAACATGGGATTACAGGAGCATGCATGTTTAATATAGGGGCCTAAATAATTACCAATATTATGGTTCCATATTCCTTGTATAATTCCAGTACATGGTCTTTCAAATGGACCTCAACATGATATTGGTAATTATTGAGGCCCCTGTAGTAGTGATGACTTCGTGTGCCAACTGCTCCTCAATCTGCACCCTATCACTATGGGCTATGAGACCTTAAGGGTACCTTAACCTACCCTTATTTGAGTACTAATAAGGAATTTTAGGGTCTAATAGCCCATAGTGGTATGGGCCTTCTGTAAAGGACATCCACGATGCACTGGATTTCTTGTGGGCATTTGGACAGGGCCTCAGACTGTGAAGTTGGATGGACATGTCAGGGAATGCAGCCCTCAACGCGAAACCCTTGGAGGATCTCTGATTATCTTAGGGATTATATAGGGATTATATAGGGATTATATAGGGGTTATATAGGGGTATACAGAGGTATTCAGGCGTTATATATTGGTATATATGAGTCATATAGGGGTTAGATTGGGGTAATATAAGGGGTATATCGGGGTTACAGAGGTATAATGGGAACTCAGCTTTTTTGTAGTGGCTTCCTCGTGCATGCGGCTTCCACGCCTTCGACCCCAAGTTCTCAACCAAAGGCAGGTTGAATCCTGAAACATTCGGAACATGTAATGTAGAGGGTTTAGGGTTTAGGGGGACTTAGTAAGTAGGTTCAAAATGGAAAAGAAAATGGAAACTACTATATATTATTCAGGGTTTAGGCTTTAAGCCAGACAATGAGAAACTGTTTTGGGATGTTTTCGGTGGGGTGTGTACTCAATCTCCCCCGTTTGGGGTTGTTACTTGACATTCAGTTAACGTCCCCAACGTAGCTTAGTAGATTCCATGAATAGGGAGACGCCAAAATAGACCCCCCAATACCTCATTCTTGGTATTGGGACCCCAAAAATGGGACCCCAAACCCATGGCCCTAATCTAATCCTTACACACCAGTACATAATCCGACTTTCCGCTTCATGTTCCATGTTCTTTTCCATTCGACTTTCCAGTATTGGGGTTATAATATGCCCTAAATAATTCATAATCCAAATTTCCCAAAATCTTTGGTCCAACTTCTACATATTCATAAATATTCTGTCTGTACTACACGCTCTCCTAATCGTACTGTTGATGCTGTAAACTAAACTTTCATTGTTCAGTTAAGGTTCAGGGTCCTTAAGTTAGGAAGCTTTATTCATGTTTACTCATCTCAGCTTTTTAGGGCGTTTTATTGGTTTGTGGTTTTTGTTGCTATTGGCTTTTGGGGTACCTAAACCTCAAACCTTGTTATGATAACCTTAAACCCGAAATCCTTTACCCACAGATCCTAATTCCTAAATCCTGACCCTTAAGTCCTAAATCCTAAACCCTCAATCCTAAACCCTAAGCTCTAAATCCTAAACCCTAAACTTGGAGAGAACACCTTTGGAGTCCCCAGGTGAAATGCGCGACACGTCACCAGGTGTTGGTCCATCCAGGACTAGGGAGCGACCAAATTGTAGGGTTTGGGGTTTAGGGTTCAGGTGTTTAGGGGTTTAGGGTTCAAGGGTTTAGGTATTTAGGGGCTTAGGGTTTAGGATTTAGGGTTCAGGACTTAGGGCTTAGGGTTTAGGACTTGGGGTCCGGTGCGAAGGTTTCAGCTCTAGGGATTTAGGGTGCTTCTGTTGACATGGGTCGGGAGAATTGTCGTTCCTTTGTGGGGTACCCTGAATTTGAGGGGCCGTAGTA